ATTATGAGTATGAGTTGCAAAAAGAGAAAAAAAAAGAGTTGATTGTGAAATAATGCGTGTAAGTCATTCAAATGAACTTAAAATCAATCAAAAAATAAGTTGTCTCCTGATAGCTACTTTTTAGTAGGTATCCATACTTGAAATGAAAAATGATCATATTTCAAATTCCCTTTACAAAAGCAAAAAAAAATCTATTTGCTATCCCTTTTGAACTTATTTATTATTTTTTTGAATGAACCCTAATTAAAGATCACCCTTTAAACATAAGGGCAAGTTCAAAAAAAAAAAGATGAAGGATCTTATCAAATGGCATGTGATCTTGTATTGATAAGGTAAGTTTGAAAAAGATGAGTTCCAAAAATTTTGAATTCATGCAAAAAAAAAAGAGAAGAAAAGAAAAGGAAAAAGAAAGTGAAAAGTAAAAAGCATGACTTGAGAAAAGGAAAGATGTTTGTGAAAAAGAAATAACCTTTGGTGTAATCACCTTTAAATATATTTTTGGGCTTATTTATCCTTTCTTTCAAAACTTTAAACCCTGGCTTATGTTATGTCTTTCAAAAAGTCTATTTTGATCATTTGTGGATACCTAGGATTGAAAGCTTATTTTTTAGAAAATCATTATAATTTGGTTTTAGATGAATTTTGAATGCTCAAATGCATGATAGAATAATCCAACAAAAAAAAAAGGAAAAAAAAACAAAAGAATGAAACTCTAGGGTGAAAACCCAAAATGATAGTCTAAAGTAATATTGAAATTATAAAAGCAACTCATAACTCTTCATGCATCACCAAAAGACATTTTGAATAAATTAAGGGATGTGGAAGACTTTTATTTAAAAACCCAAAGAGATCAATCTCATTATAATTTTTTTTTAAATTTAGGCCTTGTTCATCTTACAAACTTGAAATTTTGAACCTACCATAGTTGGTTTTGACATTTATTAAAATACCACATATAAAAAAAGTGTAAAAATATATTACACTTTAAAAGACAAATTTTATTTGTGAACCCAAATGAAAAGATGTTCTTATTCTCATTCCTTTAGTAAAAAGATCCTTCATAATATGCCAAACCATCCCTTCCTTTTGGATAGACCAAGTTGTTATTCATCATTTTCATTATAGGCAATAATCACTGATTTTCAAAAAATTTGATCACATGCAAAAGAGATGAAATGAGTAAAAAACTTGGTCCAGAAGGACTAGGGCAACGAGAAAAAGAAACAAAAAAGGTGAAAAGCTCAATTCCATTTCTTTGAAAAGAAATCTAGACTGAAGGGAAAAAATAGAATACGAAAGAAACTTGAAGAGATGTTTTGCAGACCAAATGATGAAAATTGCTAGTTGTGACCAAATAATCAATTGATAGAATTTGTAAAGTGAAGCTAAAATCACTAATGTTGAGAAGTTGAAAAGGGAATATATGAATTGAAGAAGTCTTGAGAACCTTATTACCATAATTGGAATGGCATTGATTTAGTGACATTTGCATTACATGCATTATTGTTTAAATAAGTACATATACATAATCTGGTTAATATTTGAATCTTTAATAATTACAATCATATCATGTTTGGGGCATGTGTTTGCATTATGTAGAGAATATTTGAATCATAATATAACATTTATATTATTGTTTAGGACATGCATTTGCATCATTTAATGAGAATATGGATTGTTGTATTTACATTATTTAAAAGGCATTTGCATTATCATTTATCACATACAAAATTCTAACCTTGGTGGGAAGAAATTTTGAACTTGTGAATCCTTGAATGAGAAAAACATTTTTCAAATTTTAAATTAGTGAAACCTCTATTTTAAAAAAAGATTTTTCAAGCATGATATATAAGACCTACGAGCATAATCTTTAAAACTTACTATTATTATTTTCAAGATCATTTGATCTCATATTTAGACTCAAACATAGTCATTTTCAACTTCAGTTCAATCCAGGTCATTTAATTTTCTAACTTGCGATTCAGTTTCGATCATTCATTTTCGACATCGGTTCAGTCTAGGTTATTTAATTTTTTAACTTGCTACTTAGTCTCGATCACTTATTTTCGACTTTGGTTCAATCTAGGTCATTTAATTTTTTGACTTGTGGTTCAATTTCGATCATTCATTTTCGATCTCATTTAAGTCTAGGTCATTTAATTTTTTAACTTGCAGTTCAGTCTTAATCACTTATTTTTTATCTCGGTTCAGTCCCGATCATTTAATTTTTTGACTTACGTTTCAGTCCCAGTCACTCATTTTTTACCTTAGTTCAATCCAGGTCATTTAATTTTTTGATTTGGGGTTCAGTCCTAGTCACCTTCATTTTTTTTATATGGGCACAGTTCGGTCACCTTCGTTTCAACTTTGACTCAGTCCGATCATTTTCACATTCGAATTTGGCTCAGTCCAAGTCATTTCATTTTTTGACTTCAGCTAAGATCAAATCATTTTATTTTTTTCAACTTCAGCTATGATCAAGTCATTTCATTTTCTGACTCCGGCTAAAATCAAGTCATTTTATTTTTTCAACTTCCGCTAAGACTAAGTCATTTCCTTTTCTCACTTTAACTAAAACCAAGTCATTTCATCTTTCCAGCTTTGGCCAAGACCAAGTCATCTTATTTTTTGACTTTGGGTAAAACCAAGTCATTTCATTTTTTTTACTTTTGACCTTGTCCAAGTCATTTAACTTTGAACTTTGACTTGATCCAAGTAATTGTATTTTCAAACCTGAACATAATGGATATCTATGTCTTTATATCATTTCTGTTTCACAGGGATGTGCAAAGAAAAACAATTATAGACACCCAATTTGTTCGAAGCTTGTAATTGAATTTTCAGTTTCATTCAATTGGTGTTTAAGCTTTGGCTCGACAATAGTCTTTTTGTTTTTTATTGATAGTTTTTTGTTTTTTATTTTATTACTTTAATAAAACTAAAAAAAAAAAAGAAAAAGGAATCAAAAGATTTGATTTGGTTTGTGGGATTCAATCCTAGAAATCAAGACTGAGTAAAAGATGAAACCAAATCACAAGGCATGGTATGGCAATCAGATTGATTTTAAAGGAATAAATCAAGTAATAAATAGGATTGAATCTGTTTGTGACAAATTCAATCTTTGGTATTTAATGAGATACCTAAAATCACTACTAAAAACCCTATATAAATCGTGTTCCAACACATAGAAAGAAGATGATAGGCAAATTGGTAAGCAAGCTTTAGGTGTTGAAAAGTTTTTCTAGGTTTTTAGGGTTTTAATCCTAGAATTTTGATTTTAGGAATTAGTTTTTGGTTTTGAATTTTGTTTTTCGTTTAAAGTTTTTGGGTTGATTTTTGGGAAGTCATTTGAATTATGGGATTGGGTAGTTTTTTTAGAATTTTTTGAAAATTTTGAAAATTGGATGAATATTTGAATTTCTCAATTGAATTATTTGGCCAAGGTTAAAGTTTTTAATGAGACTCTTGTGAAATTTCTAGATACCGGTGACAAAACCTAGTTTTCAATTGCCTGGGTTTAAACAATTAAAGAAATAAAGGCAAAGAAAAAGGGTTTGAGAGTGTGTGTACAGAAGAGATTCTAACAAAAAAATAAGAAATTGGAGGTTTTATAACTTCTTAAAACGATGTTGTTTTGAGCATCAATAAAACCCATGATCCATGTGTTTTGCTTTTACCTGACCTGATCTCTTGCGGGACTCGATTTGCAATCCAGTTCCAACAACCACCTATTAAGCCAAGCCAAGACCCGAGCTATGCCATCCTGAGCCATCTGTTGTGCCTGTAGCTGAGCCAAGCTATATCAAATTTATTTGGTAAATTATTTATTTATTTTGTATCTAAATTTTGTTTATTTTTTATTTATTTATCTTTTCTTAAAATTTAAAAATGTTTTCTTAAAATAAAATAAATTCATAAGTCCTACCAAACTATTAGAAGAATTTTCATGGGTTTAAATTTAAAAAAAAATATGAATTCTACTAAACTATTAGAAAATTTCATAACATTATTCTTTTTGTTTTAATCTTACTAAACTTTTAGAGGATTTAAATTTTGAATTAAATCTTACCAAACTATTGAAATGTTTAATGAATTTTCTTAAAATAAATTTTATAAATAATTTTACGATAAAATCTCATCAAACTATTGGAATATCTACATCAAAGTAAATCTTACCAAACTATCAGAGAATTTTATTAATTATTTCTTCAAATAAAATATGTTAATAAATTTAATGACAGAACCTTTTTAAAATGTGACACTATCTTCATGAATACTCTTAAGTGAAAAAATTATTTTAAATTATTATCAAATTATTGAAGTAATTTTATGATCAATTTCTAATAGTTAAATTATTTAGTAAAATTATAAAAATATTTTAAGGCTTAAATAATTTAAAATCAAACAGGGTCCAATCTTTGAATAAGCATTGTGAGGGTGTTATAACTTTTCTCACGTATAATTATACTTTTGAACCTAAAATCTAATTTTGTGAACTAGAAATTTACTATTTAAATATATCAAAAATCAAATTTAAGACTTCTCTTTAAATAAAATAAATTCAATTAGATGATCGATTGCACTTATATAAAAAATATTGATGGTAATTCTTAAAATTTATATTTAGTGATAGATTTATAGATCTGTATGTTATAATAATAATAATTAATTAATGCTTAATAGTTGTAAGGATATCAGTGGGATAAGTAAGGTATTTTCCTTTCTGTTCATTTTTTTACATCATATGTTATTCATCTTTATACTCCCACTATTACATAAAAATTATCCCAAATAAAAGTTATTTAGGCAAATAAGAAAAAATTATTAGTTTTTGAATACTTTCACATAAAATAAAATACTTTAATTAATAAAACGTTAAAATTAAGATTTTTTTCTTATTTTTCACTAATAATTAAGTTTGTACTTCTATAGAAATTTTTAAAGAAACTAATTAGTAATCACTAACATTATTGCCAGTTATTTGTTTGTATTTTATTTTATTTTTTCATTTTCCTTCTTTTGGGTCCAACTCAACGACAGCCCAACAATACCTGAGTGGGTCCAATTAACTCAGTGCTTTGTAGTAACAAATAAACCTATTCCGAACACATCATTGATTTGTATTTTGTTGAGCCAGAGACTGACCAAGAGGATGGGATATTCCAAGGACCAGCTGCTTGCTCGTTTAAAGGTTTTCTTTCTGAATTTTTGGATAATTATTGTTTTGATCTTTATCCATTTTATTATCTACTTTTCAATACCCATTTAGTTTTTAGGAAATGATTCATTATTTACACTTCAATTTTGATTTGGGTTTTCATTATTTTGCTTTAAATTCGGTTTTTTCATGCTAAGAATAGAGCAAGTAGAGGGTTGAAACCCAAATTAGGTTGTTAAAATATGGTTTTTATGTGCTGAAATTATGAACTTTTATAGATATTTGCGCCATGAATATATGAAAATACTGTGAATTGTAAACCTTCTAGTTATATGGTTTTGGTTCAGCACTATTTCTCTATTTGTTTCTGATTATGGTTGAATTTATATGAATTCTACAACCTACCGAGAGAAAGTGAGACTCTGATAGCATCAATGGAGTACATAATCATAGACATTGTCCTTGGTTTAGTTTAGGGTAGCCATGCTTCTTTTGTACCTTTTTCTTTAGTGACTGATATGTACATTGGGATCTTTCAGGAGCTTCAAATAGATTTTTCCCAGTATGAACATCCAGTTGTTTTGAACGTTGAAGCTCAGGTAAAACAAGAGAGCTAAACTTGGTTCATGAATCCCCTTTGAACTGACACACACATGCATTTCATGGATTCTAAAACTAGAATATTTCTTCTCATCAGGCAAAATATGTTGGGAATATGGGAGGTGCACTGAGCAAAAATCTGTTCTTGAAGGTATAATATAAGATTCTGTATTGTTACTTGGATTTCTACACTAAATGAATCTTGGCATTGTTTCCAATCAATTATTTATAATTTTGTGGTTGATTGCAAATGGTTATCCATGCAGGACAAAAAACATAGGTACTATATTGTCTCTGCCCTTGCTGATACGAAAGTAGATATGAAAGGTACATACTTTCTTCCCCGCTTGAATGTTCATTATCTTTTTGTATAATGCATGGAAATAGTTTATTAGTCTCACATGTTAGTCTCAATATGGCAAATTTGAAGTAATTTTGAGATGTTAATGAGAGTTTTGTGTGGCTTGAAAGCTGTGCAGTTTTATCTCAGAGGCTTGGTTTAGGAAAAGGTGGTCTAAGAATGGCTCCAGAAGAGGCATTAGGTGAGATACTTCAGGTGTGTATATGTATTACTCTAAACTAATTTGTTGCAAAATTTTCTGAGATTGTATTATGAGCAAGTATATGGATTTAGTCTAGAAGTCTTTGCCTGCTTGTTTATTGTTCTACTGAATCTACTCTAATTATTTGAGTGGATTGCTTCTAATAGCTTATTTCCTTTCTAAAATCTATTGTAATGTTTAAAAGTTATGCCTTCATCCAATTTAAAAGGATATAAAGAAAAATGGCAAGCTACTTATCAAATGATATTACCCTTTTTCTTTTCTTAGAAAAAAAAGGTAATCAGTGTTAAGTATGTTTTCAATAGTGATTGTCAAATATATGATAGCTAGATTGTAATTAACTATTTTATGTTGTTGCTTCGTTTTCTTTTTCTTTTCACTTATGATCATTATATATATGATAGCAAGATTGTAATTTGTTCTTTTATGTTGTTGCTTCTGTTTTCTACTTCTTAAGGTGCCACTTGGATGTGTTACTCCATTTGCTGTAGTAAATGAATCTGCAAGGTATCCATTTAAGTTTTATTTCCTTCAGGCTTTGAATTTTACTTTCATTTTAGTGCCGAATAGTACATGGAGCATTAATTTCTTTAGGATCCCATAATTCCATTGGCTGCGTACATTAGAAGGGAAGTCCTTGAAGCTTTTAGTTCTTGTGTTTGTCTTTTGCTGTAATTAGGCCGACTTGGTGTTCAATTTTTAAAGTCCCCAATTATGCATATGCATTAATGCTCATGTGATGTTATGTGTTGCTGGATTTCATCCTCAAAGGGACTTAGTCATGGATACACATTATTGGATGCTTGTGTGAAATTTTAAGAATATTGTCATGTTTTTCATGTTTGTTTTCTCAAGAAGAGTACCTCATGGTGCTACCTTTGTCTTAAAAATGTCAAGCTAGCTTTGAAATGAGATGAGTGGGATAGCTTTGAAATGAGATGACTGGATTAGTTTTTTTTTTTCCTTTCTTATTGATGTATTAGCATCTTTGAATAAACTGAAAAACTGTTGTTGCTAATTTTTTCCATTTTGCATTCATATGTGCATGAAAGTGGCTGTGCCAATGTGAAAAAATTATAAATACTATAACTAGCACTGCAAAAACTTCTGCAATGAGAGATGTGTCTAGTTCTAATAATGATCATTGGGCCAAAATTTTAGTATCGCTTCTTTACATCTTACAGGAAAGTGCCGCCTCTCTCCGTTCTCCTTTCTCTTATCTCTCTGTTATAGATTCTATGCTTAATTGGTTATTTGTAAAGATTACTTGCTTTTTTTTTTGGCAGTTTTCTACTTTTCTTTATTGTATTTCTAGCGTTAATTTTCTGATTTGTCATTTTTTGAAGTCATGTCTCACTATTGTTGGATAAAGGACTCAAAACTCAAGAGTGTTGCTTCTTTCACCCGCTCTCCAATGACATGTCAATCTGTAAGTCAAAAAAAAAAAAGAATATACAACTTTTTGTCACCTTTCTGCAACAAGATATGTTCACATCCTCCTCTTTTGAATTCACTCTCATGCTTCACTTTGCTACCTACAATGAATCAAGTGGTTGTAGGAGATTATTTTGAGATGGAATATTTTGGCAATGAACTGCCAGTTGAAATGAAAATATCTTATGTTTTAGAATTGTTTTAACCTAATTGGCTTTCTATAGTGACAACATAAGCCTGCATGGCATTGTTCTCCTTTATTGGGTTATGGTAATGCAAATTATAGTAATTGCAAATTAAGCTGAACCATCAATTCAATTCTCGATGCTTCCTTTTCTGTCCTTCCTCTCAATTAACTTTTTAAGTATGAATGCTATAAGTGTCCTGGTATGTGCAAGTTATTGAGGCCTAGAACTCCTGTGATAGAAAAAAAGGGGACTGATTTACTAGGCTGTGGATTTATTTAACTGGAAATAAATTAGGAAACTTAGTCAATATCATTCTATATCCCTTGGCTTCTGAACTTTTATCTTTTTGGTGCCTGTTTGGACTAACTATTAATTTATTTATTCCCAGCTGTTAATGTCCAAGGTCTTGACAAGTTTCTTAAATCAATTGGGAGAGACCCATCTTACATCGATCTGGAGGTGATTTTAATTTTTCTTAATGTGTCTCATTTCACCAATAATGAATTGTCTAATTAGCTAATCTAATATCAGTTTATTATTGTTAGGCTAACCCTCTTGTAGGGAAAGATCAACCTCCCGATCTAGCTGTTTTGGTTCCATCGGGTTCCACAGTTCTGCCAGATTTTCCTGAAAAAGCACCTTCTTTGCAAGATTCTACTGGAAATGTTAGTGCGGGTAACAATTCTGCATCAGGTACAGGTATTCTATCTAAAAGAATTGTCATTTACCACTCAATTCTCCACTGTAAGATTCTCACTCTTTTGCCCAAATTAAAAATTCCTGAATTTTGTTCCTATTGTAACATTCTGGGAGCAGTAAAACTAAGTTTATCTGTTGCTTCCTTTTATTAAATTAGCAACTATGGTGTTCAGAATTTGACATTCTTGAAATCTTGTTCACCAGTCCCCTATTTCTATTTGATCCCAAAGCCAACACCTGTTTTGGGTTCTAAGGATTAGTCTACCTTTTGTTCTTATAGACTAGCAGTTTGATGGGCAAAATGATTAATGGTAGTAGCTGCTATGCTAATAACGGGAATGTGTCGGTATCCATAGGGCAACATGGGCACAAGGATGCCAAATTTAACGGTTGTGAACTAATGATGCCCCTGAAACCTAGGAGGGAAGATATAGGACCTGCTTGCATAAACTTAAGATTATGATAAATATGACAAAATTCTGCATCAAGAAAATGGTAATGGACTTTGTTGAAAAGCCATTATGGTTAAGAAAATTTTTATTTTCTTTTGATCAGCGTGGTGATTTAATGTCAGTGGTGGCAAAGTAATGGTGCCAATCTCCAATTAGAAATCTGTTTCTTGTCAGGAGTAAAATTGGTTGTCATTTTCATCTAGGAAACGAATATATATATATATATATATATATATATATATTGGTCTTGTAAATTTGAGAAGAGCTATAATGTTGTTTGCATGACAGTTGAGCATCTAGCTATGCAGTTGATTACTGAGTGATGTACGATTCAATTTGGTTTAAATAATATAACCCTTTCTCTACTCTTGATGTAGCAAAAGCTGTTAAACCATCTGTTAATGTACAAAATGTTAAGAAGAAATCAGTTGATGGTCAGCGGCCATCAATTCCTTCAGCAGATGCTGGGAAATTTGTGGAAGAGCTTCTGGATAGAGCATCTGCCTTACTGCTTTCAGAAGTAAGCTAAATGTAATACTTTTGGTCAATGCCAACCTTGGTGTTTTTTTCTTTTTATTACTTAAGACTTATGAAACAAATACAGATTTCTGAGGATTCCATCAAGCAACATGGTGGGCTGCTTGGAGCTGAAGTAGCAAACAATTTTAGAAAATGTCTTACAGAAGATCTAAAGAACCTTGCTGTAAGTATCATGTGGTAACAGTTAAATATTTCCTTCATTATTTAGTATTTACAATTCCCTTGCCAAAAAGAAAGTCTTTTTCCCATTCCTTTATAATAGACCTAAAGAAGCAGTTAGGGTGTTTAAAAATTTTTGTATAATAATAGAATTTAGTGATACAACCCACAGGTGCCAAGTGTATTTTTAAATTTATCCTAATGAAAATGATGGCTTTCCATTGCAGACAATATTCAAGAACACAGCATATACAGAAGGGTTTTATGCTGGTACTCACTATCAAACCAAGCGACCTTGAACTTGTTTGTGATGGTTTAACTCCCTCGGACCATTTTGCCATTTTGCTTACCAGAAAAAAAGTTTCGAAGCCAAAAACAAAAATCAAATGGAGAAATCCAGTTCTCAATTTTCCTCGTGACACTTTCATTTAATAGAAACTATGTATACCCTGGTTTTAGAATCGGATAAAACTGCCTGCTTGTACTATTCATGTCAATTGAGTACATTATTTAACAGACGTAGCTTTCGAATGGCAAGTGATTGTGTGGAGTGAAGGTGCATTCAGACAGACATTTATTTCAGCTGTTTCTGAGACATTTTGATGTTTTAGAGAGCCTTCAATTTATGTTAGAATACGATTAGAGAGTGAAAAGCCATGGTAGCAGCTGGTGGCCTTTATGAGAGAAATGGTAATGCATACGCCTAAAGCCCATGATGCAAGCTGAACAATGGGAACTGAATAAATTAATAGAATTTTAAGTTTCTAAGATTGTAAACAGTGAACATGGAATCCGGCCGATTTAACCAGCTCCACAGCTTTCCTCACGCTCCAGTACTGCCGTTCACATACCTAGCAAACATGTTTTGCAACAAAGTTCACATGAATTTTTGGGATAACCAAGAACAGCTGCACATAAAGGTTAAAGAATACAGCAACAGTGTAACCTTGATTCAACTTCTGGAAAAATTAAAGAGTATCTCAAAATTAAATAAATCCAGGCGTTTTTTTGGATAAAAGGAAGCGAATCTATATCAATTGTACTGATGAACTTGCCAACAGATAGCAATCTTATTCATATTGATAATATGTAATCACTTAAAATCAATTTTCATAACTAGAAGAACCAATTCTGTCACTTTGATTAATTCTCTGATACCAACAAATTACTAGCCAGCTGCCTAAGCCCCCAACATCTTCCGCCATCTCTGGAAAAAATATCAGGTTCAGAGAAATACTCACTGCTAGATTATTCATCACAGCTAACGGGCAACTCTTGGCGGCAAACAGGACAAGAATTGTGAAGCCTTAACCATGGCACAATGCAGTCACTGTGGAATATATGGTTACAAGGCAGCTTCCTTGCCTCTCCACCAACCTCGAATTCCTCCTTACAAACTGGACATTGGGAGCCGTTGCTCAAATGCGTTCCCGTGATCTTCACAGTTGGAATTGCATCGATTCTTGACTCTGGAGCAGGAGGTACCCCTGGACTGTCATTTTGTGTTAGTTGCTCAATCAACTCATTTAGTCCTGGTCCGAAAAAGAAGTTTCTTGGATCAAGACCAGGGCGTGCAGGGTTTTCTTGCGGCAAAGTTGGTTCAGCTATGCCTGAACCAAAAGGACCCACACGTCTAACAATAATCCAAGTCCTAGGACGACGTAGAGCTTCAGGTTGTTGTTCTCTATTTTCACTTCCATCAGAACTACGGCTTCTACTCCTATGAAGACGCTCGCGGGGCCTATTTTCAGATTCATAGTCTAGTAAATTGTTCCGATGCCTGAACAAAGGCCAGCCTAGAGGTTCTTGATAATCAGAATTATCACGATTAAATAGCCTGATTGGAGGATCCATAATAAGTGAGAGTGCTTCAAACAAACGAGCTTCAGGGGAGGGATCAAAAGCAGTGAAATCAACAACCATCCTTGGCCGGCTGATTTCCATCTCACAAACAAACTGCCCAAAACATCGAGGGCAGATGATCTCTGAAGGATTTGTAGAGGCAATCCGGACAGATTGATGGCACTGGTAGCACCAGTAAAGCTGGTAGTTCCTCCCTGGGGCGCTAGGTAGTCTTAGAGACATAATCTCCTTATGGTTTTTAGATTTTTTTTTTTTTTGTCTTGAATTTGGTTAAGAAATCATTATATTGGAAATAACATACACTGATACATGAACCAAGATTAGCAGAAAAGTATCGCTTTCTAGGATTGTATAAAGTAATTCTTTCTTTCTGGGTTTCGCTTTCTTTTATGCTAATGTTTCTCTGTAAAGATGTTAGTTTGGCTTTCCAGGCTCTCTCTGTTCACATTGTTATCGTCCATGCAAAGGAAAGGATGAGAAAGGTTTTGTGAAAAGGGATTTTGTTTTAGGAAGGTTTTAAGGCCTTAGTCTTGTAGAAATTTTGAATTGCCAGGGATTTTAACGGTTAACTTTCCCGTGAAGAGACGTTAATACCAACGCTTTCAGACCATAAAAATGCCATTTGGAATTCTGTGACACCAAATTATGCTAGAAGTTACGTCTAAATATCAGGAACAGAATCTGATTTGGCTTGAGATTAGACCTGTAAATTCAGATTTGGCTTGAAATTAAATCCTTAAATTCATGCATCCATATCATGTTATTTTGTGTTAAACAAATGTAAAATACAGTATCACAATTCATGTCGACATGTCCAACAAAAACACATTTTTTAGTTTTTATCCAATTTATATGCGATTTTTATCAAGATTTTAAACTGTCATTTTCATTTTTTTTATTATTTTCAAATGATATTATGGTATTATATCTCATTATATGGTGTCTAAAATTATCAAAAATTATTAGTTCTGAGGCAAATATAACCTTTGTTTATGATATATCAGTTATCTAATGAGACCAAATAACAAAAAAAATAAAAAAGGCTAGTTGACAGTAACATGCATGAGAGAGAAAAGAGAGAGGAATTTCACTGAGCTCCAAAGAACTGTTCAGTTCTTAGCATATGTTTGGACATTTAAAGGAATATGGCTTGAATCTGAGAAGAAAAAGATAAAACATTAAAATGAACACATGGAGATATAACTGTTAATGAAGGTACCATTCGAATTTCGATTCATTGCAAGTAGTAAGCACAATCTAGCGTGTACTCATTCATCAATCATGCATTGCTCAAAGTTAACTCAGTTAACACCTCCGCGGAATCCTATTTATTCAAATAGAAGTTATAGAGGTTAGGTTTGAATCATTACTCAACCTAAATCTAGATTGCTTTTGGAGGCTAACAACCTCCCTCGGTGGATCAAACCCAAATCTAGAGACGTACCTTGGCCAAAAAAACCTAGTTCCATACATTTTACTCACTTTTTCTTCAGCTTCTCCATCCTCTCATCTGCAGACTTCAAAGTTTCTTCATCCTTGCAGAGGGTAAATTTCACCAAATTCTTTCCCTCTGCTGGGTTCAAGTAAAATACACTATTAGGAATTGGCACGACTGCAACTTCCTTGATCAGATACTCACAAAAAGTAATATCATTCTCCAGACCAAAAGGGGTGTGATCTACCACAACAAAGTATGCTCTGCTTGATGGGAATACCGTAAAACCAATATCCTTCAACCACTGTACCAAAATTGCCTTCTTTGCCATATAATCCCTTTTTAGCTCAAAACAGTAGGAATCTAGGGCTCAATGAGCGACTGTAGCCGCCAGCTGCATTGTAGCAGAAGTAGAAAAAGTAAGGAATGAGGGCGCTTGCTGCACTCCCCAAGTGTGGTGGAGCTATTGCCCACCCAATTTTCCACCCTGTTAGGGAGAATGCCATCCCCAAGGAATTCATGGCTGCAGCAAAAGCTTCAGTGCACCCACAGGTACTGTAACTTCCTTCTCAGGGCCAATCACAAGTCCAGCATCCTTCTTCAAGCCTGCAGCTATGGTGTTATTAAAGTCTGGAACTCCATATCCTCAAGCATATTGGTTTTTCCCATCTTTAATGGCTTGAGTTGCCGCTTCTTTTACAAAATCTGGACCATCAAATTTGGGCAAGCCTTGGCCAAGGTTTATTGCTCCATGCTTGATAGCAAGCATACTCTTCCGAGTAAAAATTGTAGTTTTGAACTTCTCCAACAGCTTTGCAACCTAAGAAAATGTACTAGGTTACTAGACAGACGAAACTATATAAACAGCCACATATGAGTTGATTTTTTAACACAGAAAGGAAATGATGCTTTAGTCTCACACAAAATCTAGGATTTAAGGAGAGGACCATTACTTTATATCACAAACTGTTTAACCAAAGAAATAATGTTGCTTGAGCATATCAATATGTGGAGAAACATAAGTAACCATATGCATAAAGCCACACTCACATTCAATAAATTCTTGAATCTCGAAATCAAAATGATGATAGATTCAAACCAGGATATGACAGCTGTATTCCCTATGTTTTACTATATTAACAGGTGTCTGAATCAAATTAATACTTCCACGGATTCCTGATGCTAGAAAGATTATGAAGCTTCCTGCTCTCCTTCAGATCGTTTGGAAGCTCCAATAAAATTGCTAGCTTCTTAAAAGCTATCTAAGGTGGGAATAAAAATCAGGAAAATGACAAGAGTAATATGCTCTTTAGTAGTATCCCACATTGGTCATTCCTAAAATCCATACATTTAAAAGGGTATTTCATTTTATACTAATTTCAGAAATTAATCCTGACATCGGTTTTTGACTAGCATTTCCATGTGAGATTGGAAGAACAACACTATAGTGCTTCAACTTGTTATACTACTACTTATTTCATGAAATTCATAAAAAAAATTCTCACAATCAACCCAGTTCACAAATTTTGGAAGGTTAAAAGCAAGAAATTTCGATCTTCTATGCATGCACCTCATGTATACCGATGACATAAAATTGAAATGCAAAAAATAAAAAATATCTTTGAGAAATTACAAGAGTTTTGATGCTTCAACTTTGATTCAACTCTAAAACAAAATGTATACCAATAGGTTTAAGCTTGTGGAGTTGGTGAGAGATGGAGAGAGTTGGTGAGAGTGGAGATTAAGTATGTAGAGTTGGTGGGAGGTGCAGGTAAAGAAAATGATTTAAATTCATAAGCCCACCATTTTTTTGAGATTATTCAAGGTATTTTTTACCAAAAATACTTTAAATGATCCCTTACAAAAAATTCAATAGGATTATTCAAGGCGTTTCTAGTCAAAAACGCCTTGAATAATCTCCTCAATAAGTTTTTATGAGGGATTATTGAAAGTATTTTTGATAAAAAAATGCCTTCAATAATTTTTTGGCAAAAAACTTCTTCAATAATTCCTTTCAAAAAAATTTTGGGGATTATTAAAGGTATTTTTGACCAAAAATACCTTTAATAATCTCTTCCAAATTTTGTTAAGAGGATTATTAAAGGCGTTTTTAGTCAAAAACGTATTCAATAATCCCTTCCAAATTTTTTTAGGAATCATTGAAGGCGTTTTTGGCTAAAAACACTCTCAACCTCAACAAAATTTTTTGTTTTGATTATTGAAGTCGTTTTTGGATAAAAATGCCTTCAATAATCTCCTCCAAAATTTTTTGTATAGATTATTGAATGCGTTTTTGATCGAAAATACCTTCAATATTCTCTCACCAAAATTTTTTGAATAAATTATTAAAGGCTTTTTTGATCAAAAACACCTCAATAATCCATTCAATTTTTTGTAAGCCAATAGTTTTTATGTTTTGAGCTTCTACTGACGGTTGCATTAATAACCGTCAGTATATAACAAATTTATACTGATGGATAGTCATATACCATAAAAAAAATTATTTATACCGATGATTAAATAAAATGTTGGTATAAGTATAGTATATTCTAACAGTATTAAAAAATCATCAATAAAAGTCTCTTTTACTGATGAAATTTAATTGTCAGTAAATAATCCATACAAAAATTTTTGTATGAATTATTGAAGGCTTTTTTTTACTGAAAATACCTTCAATAATTCCTCTCCAAAATTTTTTAAATGGATTATTGAAAGCGTTTTTTACTAAAAATACTTTCAATAATCCTATTTAATTTTTTGTAAGCTAATAGCTTTTTTGTTTTGAGCCTATACTGACAGTTACATTAATAATCGTCAATATATAACATATTTATACTGATAGATAGTCATATACCATCAGAAAAAATTTATTTATACCGACGATTAAATAAAATATTGGTATAAGTATGATAGATTCTGATGGCATTAAAAATTCATCAATAAAATCTCTTTTACTAATGTAATTTAACCGTCACTATATGAAAAATATTTTGTAGTGACTTGTTTTAAACACTACATTTGATGCAAAATTATGTTAATGTAAAAGTTGAAATGAAATAATTTTAAATTTTAAGTAATAATATTAAATTTTGAATAATTATTTTAAAATCTTATTGCTTAAATGTTTCAATGAAAATGTGTCAATTCTCATTAACAAGATTTTATAATCAATTTTAAAGGTAAAAAATTTTGTTTTTTACTTTTACTACTTACATTTCACTTTCAAAAAAAAAAATCAATAATACTATAAAAAATTAAATTATAAAAAATTAATTTCAAATAAATAAACATAATTTTACTTTTATATAAAACAATTATGTTAGAATTAGTACTACATTATAGTCATTTGCTTTTATTTATAATTTTAAAAAAATACAAGAAAAACATAACAAAATCAATAATTAAAAGTAAACCTATACAATCTTTTCTAAATAAATAAATAAAACCAACAAATAATGCTTAAGTAATTAAATCAATATTTTTATTCTCAATTGTCAAAATACCTCAAAAGTGTTATTATTGTGCCAAATCGATCTTCTTCCTCTACTCCATCTATAAATTATCATAAATTTTTTTATAAGATCCATGCATACAACTTAAACAAACAAAATATTCAAGGTTTTCATAAAAATTTTAAAAGTAAAAAAACATTGATTTTAACTTTTAACACGCAAGTACACATATTACAAAAATATTAAAAAAAATTATGCATCTCATATATAAAAAATTATAAAAATATAATAAAAATTAATGTATCTCACAAGTTAAAAAAAATATTTCTTTGCAAGCATAAAAGTTAAAAAAAAAAAAAAAGAGAAATAGAATTACCATTAAAAGTATCATTAAAGAATATATTATGATCTTCTAATATATGTGAGATTTAGTCTTTTTAAATTTTAAAATAATCAAACAATAAATGATTATTATGAAATCTCTAAAAATAAAAATTATATTTTAAAATTTCAAATTTAAAATGACATTTAAATTATAAAAAATTCACTTCATAATATCACTACATTTGAGATTTTTAAGTTTAAAAAGATATATATTAATATTATTAGCAAACTTATTTTAAAAGATAATATAACACTATATTTGAAAATTTTAAATTTATAAAAATATATATTTAGATTATTTGAAAATGCATTTTTTAAAATAATATATTTAAATTAGATTTTGTTGCTAGCAACTTAAAAATAATTGAATTGATCTTCACTTAAATTTGAAATTTTTGAATAATTAAATAATTTTTAAAATATATATATTTTTATAACTATCTTAAAATTAAAAAAATATATTACATGTCATTATAAAAAAAAATTTAAAATTTTTTTACGTATAAAAAAAAATCATCCACCTAAACATACATGTAAGCAAACCTTATTAGGTTTATATATATATATATATATATATATATATATATAGATATATATTGTAATATAATATTATATATGATTTCAATTAAGTCCTCCAATTGTTTTTTTTTATTATTATTCATTAAATCTTGATTATGTGAGAATTTATGCATAAAAAAATTTGAATTTTTTTTATGAAATCAATTTGAATATTTTTAGAATGAATATTATATACAAATAGGTAAATTACATAAATATACCCTGAAATTTAGCGCAATTTGAGTTTATTCCCTGATATTTAAAAAGTGACACTTAACCATCTTAAATTGTGTATCCATGATATTCTGTTAGTATTCTTTGAACGCCATCTATCTTAAAATGATAAGAATATCGTTATTGCTACAAAACCCATGGCTAGTTCTTGAAGCATTTGAAATGGAAAGCAAAACTTTGTTACTTACAATCAAATCATCTCATTTGAAAGTGATCAAACGTTTTCATTTAAGAATCAAACCAAAAAACCTTTTAATTCTAATTAAAAGGAGTTTTTTGAGGTAAGGTTTAGGCTAAAATCAATCAAAAATAGTAGTCAAAGCACTTTAGAAACCATTTGGCAAATAAATAGTGGGGCATAATTACTGTGTATTGGAGCAAACTTTCACAAATTAACAAGGCATATCCGATTCTCACTTCCATTTCATTAAGGTTGGTTGAAATCATCTATTTGGGGTTTATTAAATTTAAGAAATTTAAAGTTTTTTTATTCTGAATAACTTAATTACAAATATGTTGTAGAGCTTTTATACATGAGTTATTTTTGTTAAGTTTATAGTTTTTTATGACCATAATAGCTTAGAGGAATAAATGATGACAATGTTGGTATGAAAGGAAAAGCTACTACTAATGTTACTACAAGAGGAAAAACTAATGCCAATGTTAGTATGAGAGGAAGAAATATTGCAAATGTTGATACACAAATTCCAACTATTGCTACGAGTTCAAATTTTGGCACAAATCTAATGGGAAAAGCTATGTAAATGTTATTAGAGGAAGAAAAAGAAGAAATTTTAGGCCAAAAGTTACACCAATTAGAAGAAAGGATAGGTTTACTGTTGGTGGTAACCAACCAGTTGGCAATCACACTACTGACAGAAATAAAAAAACTAGTAACTAAAGAATTGGCAGCCAAGAAACTAGTAGCCAAGGAATTTGGGTGCAATTTGGGAATGGTTCGTACATGTTATTCTAATGATATATGTTGATATATAGTTCTTGTTGGGTGGAAGTTAGGAATCAATTTAGGGTATAGTTCTTTTTAGGTGAATGTGGTATAGTTCTTTTTGGGTAAATGTGAATGAACTATTTAGGGTATAATCTTTTTTTATTTATAGCCAATTTCATTACGTGCATGTTGCTTTGTTAAAGCACAATTTGTTTCTCATATCAATATGAATTGAAAGCTTTCATGTTCTTTGCTATGTTCTTAATCAAACAATGTTTATAATGGAAATGTGATTGTTTGCAAATGTGGTTATTAGGTGTTAGAAATGTGGTAATTGATGGAAAATGTGGCTTTTTACAGGTTTACCAGTTGTGTTATAAATCAAATAACATAACTATTATAGAAGAAATGATTTAACATAGCTACAATAGAAGAAAACGGTATATATTAATCACAGAGTTCATTGGGTTATTTCCACAAACACTTGGTACACAAAAGTATTAACTCTTTTCTACTAACTTCAACACTAGAATTTCAATTATTTAGTTTCGTAAATTGGCTTCTACAACTTCTTATATTAAAGTAATCATACAAAATTACTATAAATAAAAGCGAAACACTTAAACAAATTAAAAACACCCCATTTTTTCCTCTATTTTGAGTGTTAGCAAGTTTTGCCCTCCATTTCAACTCCATTTTTTCTGTTTCAACTAATCCTTCTTGCAAACTCATCTTTTTTGTTGAAACTAAAATAAATTCTTCAAATAATGCTTGCTTCTTTGAATTTGACATGGAATTCTCATATTACATTTTCTTGATTGTTTCTTCTAATTTAACTATTTTTTTTTGTAGAAAATCACATGATATTTCATCCACCCACTAAAAGAAATCACATTTTCAACTTCCCTAACAAAAATGTACGATTTAATACATTATTTCAATTATCTTACAAGCTATTTCAAGATTAAATGAAGTACATCTCATTTCAAATTTATCACACTCATAAAATTTTCCTAACCATTGTTCCTTGTTTTAAATGTTCTTATAGGTGATTTTACACCACAATAGCATATTTTTTCACCATTTGATCCCCACTTGCTAAAGATTATAAAAAATTCATGCTACTAGCCTAATTTTTCTTTAAAAAATTTAAATATAAAAAATAACAAAAAAATTGGAAAAGAGTTGAGATTTCTTGATTAAGCATTAATGATATTAAAAAAACTAACGAAATGCTATAGATATACAACTTAAAACGATTAAGTAACACTTTTTAAATCTAAGAAACAAATTTAAATCACATTAACCCTTAAGATATATTTATATAATTTATCCTCTATTAATTTATCTCTATTATTTAAATTTCAATCTTTAAACAAATTTACTCTTATACTTTTGATTTTGAAATAAACTTAGTTAAGTTATAACATTTGAAAAATATTTTATTACACAATTTGTTTTAAAATTCAAAAAATAATTTTAAAAATATAATTCTACAATCATACTTTTAATTTTAAAATAATTTAACTATTAAACTTATAATTTTAGGTAAAAATATTATGATTTGATATTATCTTAAACAAAATATGCTATGATAAAATAAAAAAATAGAAAACAGTTTGGATTTTTGCATAATTATTTTGTCTCTGTCACGCCATTTTCAATTTTTTCTATTCACAATTATAAAATAGCTCCTAAAAAAATATTTTACTAGTATTTTCTAACTATCACGAGAAAATCCCTGTAGCATTGAAGCGAGAAACACAGAATATAAGCAATAACAGAAACTAGATAAGCATTTTTATTTCGCCTCGTGGAGAGAAAGTCGACGTTATTCAACGCATAATTAAATAAGAAAGTGCAACACACTGCAAATGTCTCAAACAAAAGAATCTAAAAACAACAAAAATTAGCCATCCAAGCTCCAAAAAGAAAAACACTTTCAGGCTGCAGTCCAAGAAATTCGAACGGAGACAGCATAAAGCACCAAATGCATGCTTAGTGTCGAATAATAAGAGTTACTACTGGATATTAGATGGAACTCGCCGGTTAAAACAAGGGCCAATTCCAAAGAGCAGCTTTTGCTAAAAACAGCCACTAAAACCTAAAAACGAACCCCCAGAACCAACCGTTATCTACACCTTCCACCACCACATGCCTTAGTGTCAAATATCAAGCAGATAATGAAGAACCTGTAAATCTAAACCACGGGTTTTCATTTTTTTTTCTTTTTCTCTTCAGAACTTATATATTAACTATACACTAATTTCTTATCTATGACAGAACCTGTTCATTCCATACAAGGCTATGTTACCTTTTGTCTCCGTGAGGTCATTCAATTCAGTTCTCTCATGAATTACTTCAAATATGAACACATGTATAAGCGTACCCCAATCTCAAGGGGTCCATCATCACCACCAATTGCATATAGTGCCACGGGAATTGTTGAAAGCAAGCGCACTGTCAAAGGAAATGTTCCAGGATCAACAAAAGATTTTGAGATTGCCTCCAAATCTGGGAATGTTACCCCACCATTCACCATGCATGTTGCATCATGGTCACCTGTTTCCACACTTAGATCATAAGGATTTACAACCCATGCAACATTTCCTAAAGCCATGTAATTCCCTAGGCCACCTCTCTTGAACAACCGATTTTGCCCTGATAAATTAAGGACCAACGTTGAGGTAGACTCAAGCCATTCCACATTTAACCCTTCAACTTCGTCATAGTATATTCGTCGCTCAATCTGAAAACGTAACAACATGAGCACTGAAAAACCCAACGACAATGAAGGGTATGGCGGAAATAAGAAAATAAGAAATAAATCACTTACAGCCAGCTTCTGAATATAAACAGACATAAATCTCGGTCCCAATCCCAAGACTCTAGCATCCGACAACAAAATCTAAGGTAAAAAAAAAAGCATCAGCCACAAATGCAAACATACAGACCCCAACAAAATGCAATAGCATAAAAGAAAAATAATTATTAAACTCCCACAATTTAATTTTCTATATCTAGTAGTCTCCTATTAGATTTCCTTCATTACTTCCGTTAAACTGCTATTTATGTTTAACATCTACAAGTTTAAAGAAAAAGTATGAGAAACAGGCCTGAGGATGTTTTATTCAGCAAAATTAATGTTCAATAATAACGGAAGACAAACCATCAGTTATAACTTAATTTCGTGGAAAATCAGAGTATGAATTTAGCAGGATCCCTTTTTCATTTTAAGAAGATAAAAGTCAAAAGGCATAAGATAAAAAGCAAACACAGAGTTTAAGGATTGAACAGGAATAGATGGAGGAAGTCTCATAGCTAGGACAGCTTATCAAATGGACCAAAATATAAATCCAAAGTGGTAGGTGCTTATAGTACAGAAATAAAATCTATTGACACTAAAAATATAAACAAGGAAGAAATTACATACCTCCTTTTTCTTCACCAAAACCCACATATAGAGTTTCTCACAGGCATCCTCAGCATGAATACTGGCCAGCTTTCTTTCATTGCAATATGCAGCAACATCAACAAGAAGTTCAGAGGAAGGAATTCCATGCTTCCATGCAGCAATTGCTAATGCTTCCTTCCCTTGTGGAGACACTGCAGCTTCCTTATCAAAATAAATACCAGTGAAACACCTTGACACTTCATCCTCCTTGTCACCTTTAAGCAACCCTATCTGCTTCAAATACAACTCCTCCGCTTCAATTACAGCAGTCAATGTCCGATGTACTACAATGTCTGGATACCGACGTAGGGGTGAAGTAAAATGTGTATAAAGAGGAACAGCCAACCCATAATGACCCCAATCGTTCAAATTATCTTTTAACTCACCACTGCAAAAGTAAGTAGCCAATTGCATCGGTTTTGAAGCATAAGAGATGAGAATATCAAAAAGAACAGAATCATCCTTTAGTTTTTCCTGTATTTTCTCCAAGGATTGACGAAACTGACCGGAAGAGGAAGCATCCAATGCCAGACCATGTTTTCGACAAAAGGCTTCAAACTCTTTGAGCTTTCTCATATTAGGTTCAGGATGCCTCCGCAATAATGCACTATCGGGAAAAGCTCTAGATATTACTTCTGCAGCAGTCATATTTGCCAAAAGCATGAACTCTTCAACAAGAAAATTTGAATCCATCCGCTCATTTAGCCTGCTATCATATGGAACCCCATCTTCATCAAATACAAAAACAACTTTAGAGGTTTCAAGCTGTATAGCACCATCACTAAATCTTCTCTCCTTCAAAGTTTTTGAAATTTCATGAAGAAATTTAACAGATCTAGTAACATCAGTCCATTTGAATTGGCCATGCAATTGGGGGTATTCTAAAGTATTAAATCTCTCCACATCAATTATCCCTTGAATGATGTCTTGAGCATGCTTATATGAAAGATTACAACAAGATCTTATCACTGTCCGGCCAATCCAACGATCCAAAACATCCCCTGTGCCGTTTAATTCCCAAAACATAGAAAATGCAAGCCTGTCTACACCAGGATTAAGTGAACCAAGCTTTTCCGAGAGCAAAGATGGCAACATCTGTATCTTCCTTTGCAACAAGTACACACTGGTTGATCGAATCTGAGCTTCTATATCTACGGCTGTGTTTGGTAACACAAAGTATGACACATCCGCAATGTGTACACCTACTCTAAAAATGTCATTGGATAACTTTTCAACAGATAAAGCATCATCAAGATCATACGCAGTGGAAGGATCAATAGTAAACACACACAAGTCTCTAAGGTCTTTTCTAGTTTGATATTCCTCTGGTGGGATTTCCCAAGGAATATCTGGAAGACAAGACAGCACCTGAGGAGGAAAATCAGCAGAATGGATTGCATTTTGATAGAGGATTGCATTGATCTGTGGTTCCAATTCACCACCCCGTCCAAAAGAATGAGAGACACGAGCTCGTGGAAAAGGACTTTCTGCAGTCCAATCTTCAATTTGGGCAGCTAGCAACTCCATCTCAATTGTTATATCACCATCTTCCAACCTTTTCTTTATGCAGTCTGGTAAGTCTCTCACAAAAACAATCATTTTGGGAAATCTTGGATCGGTTGGGGTCAATGTAACATACTCATGGTCAAATTTTGCTGAACTTTTCTTTGCATCTTTTCTACCAAGTTCTCGATTGGAAAACCACTGCTTGACATTAAGAAAACCAACAATAGCATTTCTTCGAAGAGACTTTTCAACAATTGCTACAACCTTCCCAGTTGGTCGTTTCAGAGGGAATTGACTAGTCATGACAGTCAACCAATCGACTGAATTTATGCCTTCATTCTGCCCAGGCAAAAGACCCATATACAAAGAATCTGAACTAGATTGGTGGTGCCCATTAACATGATTGTAAGTTGCTGTGCTAGTCACTTGTTTCTCATCATAATACGCTTTACCAAGGAGTACTCCACTTCCACAATCAGCATACTCACAATCTGCATCTACCTTACCTTTACCCTTGTAGCTATTATCAGCCAGTCCATCGACTTCTTGGACTAAATTAAAATCTTCTACCTGTGCAGAATTGTTTGAGGACCCATTTGACCCTTTCATCTTGGTCCACAATCCCAAAGGATCAACCTTAATAACCACAATATCTCCCTCAACCTATAAGACAGAATAAATAGATTGCCAATTAGACCAATTCCATATAAACTAGTAGAGTAGACTACATAGAAAGGTACATCAGCGTTGACAATTAACATAAACAACATAAACCCAGAGAATTTCATACTCACAGCTCTATTCTGCAAAGATACTCCGTTGATGAGAATATCTGTAGGTACCCCGTCAATTTTGCAATATGCCTAACAGTATAAAACAGTTTTCCATGTTAGCATACAAGATTTATAATGTAAGGAACATCATAAAATAAAATGAAGTTTAGCTATCAGAAACCTCAAGTCGATTGTGAGCATTCACATGAAACAATGCTTTGAAAGCTTCCCCTTTCTGCAAAAGGGTTAAACAACAAGTAATCAAGAAAGCAACACACAAATAAAACCATACGTATGCATCCAAAAACCAATACAAACTACAGAGGATTAAGTACATATTTCAATTACTGGTTTTTATTAGATAAGTGATTTGCACATGAATCATATTTTTAATCTTAATTGTTTTATTTAAATAATACTATTTAAAAAATTATCATAGTGAAATAGGAGATTTATTGATTATGAACTCTAGTAATTATTTTTTACTCAAGTTTAATTGTTCAATTTATACAGACACACATCCTAAGGTTCAAACTAGAAACCTCCAAGTTGGAAACTCGAGTTATAACCACTAAGGTGTTCCCTTGGGCACTTAAGAGCTGTTTTATTAAACTAATTAGATTCAATTCAATTTTCTAACTTTTAGGATCTATCACTCTCTTGTATGTTGTTTTAGTCTTATAGAACAAGGACTAATGGACTATTGATTAATAAAAACTATTTATAAATTTTAATGAGAATTAGATAGTATAAAAGGCTGTAAATCATAAGAGCAATTTTCGAACAGACCTTTAATGCCTCATTTACAGCCTCTATAGGCCAGTATGGAGTAAACAGTTTCCTTTGAGCAAAACCCTCAACCTGGTGGAAAGGAAGAAAACCATCTACGCACATTTTAGATGACCCCATGTAGGCAATTGGTTCAGGACACGATTTCGAAAAAGTTCTTCCACCAACAGCAACAGCAATATCATCAAAACCAAAGCCATCTTGTTCATTTATATGCATCGCAGGCATAGAACTAAAAGCAACATCAGATGCTCTATCGGGAGTCTGTTCATTCAAAGCCATTTGTAATCCTTCTTGTTTGGACGAAGAACAACTCACAGATGATGTCAAACTTTTTGGTTTGTCTTCACTTTTCAAGCTATCTGATGACTCTCCGCGTGCTTCATTCACTGAATTACAAGCTATATCCCCACATAGATTAAAATTAAGAAAACAAAATCAAAATCCCAGTTCACTAAATCTCACACAAATCAAATTAACCATGAGATAATAAAAATCCAATACCATAAAAAGATTCACTATACTTCAAGAAACACCCAGAAAATAAAAAGACAATAAAAAAAAAAGAAAACAGATTTCACAAATTCTAGAAATACCTAGAAAAAAAATACAATCTATAAATACATAGAAAAATTCACTAAATTCTAATAAATAGCCGGTAAAAACAACTAAAAAATTCAGTTCGAATCTACAAGATAAGGTTTCTATCAGGAAAATTCAGTCCAATAATAAAAAAAATACCTAAGTTATGTTTGGATCGGCGATTAGATCGTCGTTTTTTCTTCTTCTCCTTATCAGTATCCTCGACCTTCTCAACAATCACAGATTGCTCTGCGACGCCGCTACCAACCCTCATATTCTTTTATAGAAATTAAATACCCAAAAAATAGATAAAAACCAAAAGAAATCTAATAAAACGAAGAAAAACTAAAATCCTAGATCACATAAAAACTCTGGCAACTTCCGATGAGTTAAAAAAATATAACGGAAGAAACCGAACCAAAAAAAAAAAAAAAAAAACAAATTAGGGGATTTAAAAGAAAAAACCAGAGGAAAAAGGACTAGGGTTTCTATAAGGAAGCTTCTAGAGAGATAAAAAATTGAGAGAGAGTGGAGGTAGTGGAAGAGACAATGACGTGAAAATTGGTCGGCGGAAACATTGGGCGCCAACTATCGATTCCTTTGTCTTCCCTCTTTCCTCCCCATTTTCTTTTTCTCTTTCTTTCTCTTTAGTTTTCTTTAACTTCTTTTCTCTCTCAGTAATTCTTTAGGAAAGAAGGAAAGAGTGGAGTAGGCTGAGGAGTTAAGAATGCTAGACTTGGGACAGATGTCAGATTATGAGTCGTAAATTATCATGATACGCTGCGTTTTAATGATTTTTTTTAGTTAATATCATGCATTAAATTATAATAAAATATTTAAAATAATATTTTATTTTTAAAAATATCTAATATAATAATTAAATTATAAATTTATTAATTAATATAATATTTAAATGATTATTTATTTTTCAAAAATCATCATTTAAAATTATATATATTAAAAGTAAATAATATATTAATTATTTATTTATAATTTAAATATTTTTATTTTTATGCCTAAATTCTTTTAAATTTATAATTTTTTAAAATATGACTAATATATATATATATATATTCAATATTCAATTGATTGATTACTTTATTAAAAGCTCTTATTTTTTGTTATAAAAAGTTCTTATTTTTAACATAAATAAAAGTTATTAAATTTGTTTGTTAAATATTTTATAGATTTATTATTTATTATTTATTTATTTTTTTAATAAATAATGAAGGCACCAATTAGATGGAGCATAATTAATTACTTTTTTTAATAATAAAAAAGAAACTTTAGCAAACGAAAGTTAGGTGCTTTTGGCCAAATAAAATATGCTCCAATAATGGTAGTTCTAATCACATTAGTGCAACAAAAAGTTCATATGACTTTAAAAAGTACCTTAGATAGAGGTTGGGGATTTCTTCTCTTTAAATCTTTTATTATTGTGAAATATAAAATTATACTTAACAATCACTCAACTATAATTAAATTTAAAAATTATGCATGCTTACTACCATTTTTTAAAAGATTAAGAGAATGTTTAGTACGGAGTGATTCATTTAAAAATCATAATAATTTACATTTAGTAATTGCATCATCTTCTTTGATAATAATTTAAAAATTTTATGTGACAATAATTTTAAATTAATGGGGTGATAAAATTATTATTTTAGAGAGTGATATGATTTTCAATCGAAAGAATAAGAAAGCTTTATCATCATAGAAAAGTAATTTTTAATATTATTTTTTTGACTAATTTACTCTTATAAAAAATATAATTACGATTACTTTAAGAAACAAGCCATTAAAAATTTTAAAAAATCGATTTTTTAATCACTTATTCTAAAAAAGTTTTATGTTATAAATTTATATTAGTTAGAAAAAATATAATGAATTTATTTAATAATTTTTTAAAAATTATTTTTATTAAAATTGATTTATACTTTGTAATTTTTTTTTATAGAATACCGTTTAAATATTTTATAAATTATTGATTTAATAAGTATTCAATATGTTACTTTTTTATAAGGGTATTTTGAATATTTTATACTATATGATTTATTTTTTTCTTATAATACCAAAGATAGTGATTTAAAAGCACCAATAATTTATAATATTATATCAAATATGGTAATCTAACATCACTGGTGATAGGGTGTAAACGAATAAAGATTTCAACGAACTGTTTGTGAACATTTTCGGTTTCTTTCATTTATATTCATTTACTAAACTAAACAAACGATCTTGAATACCATTTGTATGTTCGTTTATTAAACGAACCAAACACAAATGGTCATCTGTTCGTTTATTTATATTCACGAATAAACTTATTTAAGGTTCATTTAAAACTCGCTCATTTATTATTCATTTGTTTGATAATAATATAATATAATAATAATAACAATATTACATATTTACCCTTTACCCTAATATTCCTATTACCTAACCCTTAGTCCCTTACCCACTTTCAATTTTTTTTCTCAACATCATACATTTTTTTTTTTAATTTTTCAAACTTCAACTCCATATCCCAATTTCCTCTTGTCACAGACTCACCTCCTGCTTTCTTTTCCCTTACTTATCATCGTCACCGTTGATCATTTCTTTATCTCCTTTATTGTTGCTATTGTCGTTCCTTTCATTTAATTACCTACTGATCCTTCATCGTCTCATTTTAAATCATTGCTCTTTGCCTCTTTCCTCATCAGGTAAAGTTTTTTATTCAAGTTTTCTATTCATACGCACTTTCCAATATGTGGTTGACTTAAGAAATTGGCTACTTATAGTTTTTTTTTTTACATTTTTTTCGAATAATAATTGGTTAAATTGGTATATGTTTGGGTTACGTATTTTTTGTAAGAAAAATCTTTATATGTATAGTGCACTTTCCAAAAGCCAAAACCCCAAGGTTCGTCCTACCTTAATTTCACTTTAGCCTACGTGCTTAGTTTTTTCAGTGTGCTTCTCTTAAATTTAATGGTTGGCTTGTATTTCAATATATTTTTAAAAATAATATAACTTTTACCTTCACTATTGCTTTTGAAACACTTTGCTTCATGCTTTTAATGGCTATGTACTTGATGTAGGAATTGGAAGTACTTTTGATGTGGGAATTAATTGATTTGTCGAAGTGAGGAAAAAAACTCTGTTGATCTTTTAATTGAAACAGCTGATAATAATCATGCAAGCTAGTTATCAAAAGTAGACTTACCTAACATTTCTATACTATACAGATTAGGTTAAGAGGTTGACTTTATTTGGTAATGTGTCAATCCATACCTTTATAAACATTTAGTTGATTTGGGATGTTGCCTGTTTTGTTAATTTTTTTAGTTTTTCATTTTTGCTAAATGTGCACTTATGATGGCTTTATTCCATAAAGATATGTGTATTTACAATATCCTAGTGTGTTTAAGCCTAGTGTATTTCACTAGACTAGTTGAGAGGTTTTAGTTATATATAAAAAAGTAATGGTGATAGGGATTTAAAGTGTGTGTGTATGTGTGTGTAATTTACTTACAAACTGATAAGGTTCAAGCTTATGTTCTAATAGAGATCAAATTTAAACTTTATTAAAAGGATATGGATTTATGGTACATTTTAGCTGTGTAATGAACCATATCAATTAAAGATACGATTCTATTTTGTGCATAGTTCATTGTCTATGAAATTTTTGATACCTAGTGATTTTCTAGCACTGTATGCAAGATTTTGTGCATTTGTTGTTAGCATAAGCCATTAAGCAACTTAGCAATGTATAACAAAGTATTCTTCATAGTTCGAATTTCATAATTTTTCTCTCTTTCTTTATGTAGATGAATTTTTCTAATCTTTTTTCTTTTCTAGACTTTTTAAAATCTTTATTTTAAGTTGGTTTAGTTCAAACATTGATTCATTTGATATGCATTTTGATTTTTTTTTTTTTTTTACATTCTTTCATGTAGTTAGATAATGAATTATGTTTTAGATTAAAATATATATATATATATACACCCACACACACAATTATATTCCTAAACTGGCTTGAGAAATAGAGACAAGTTTTATATACACACACACACACAAACACAATTATATTCCTAAACTGGCTTGAAAAATAGAGATAAGTTCAAAACCTGATTTGGTATAACTAAGGATGAAATCAAATAAAAGTATAAAACCACCTTAGCTAATTTTTATTAGTTCTTGTCAGCCTAGGGATTGCACTTTCAAAAGCTTAACTTCAACATATACAAATGTGAAATTTTATCAATTCTTGTATCAAGTTTGAATATAAACCAAACATATACAAATGTGATTTTGCTTTTTATAAATTATTAACAATATGATTTTGCTGTTAGGTTAAAATCTTTAGCACCACCAGCCCATTGTTTTTTCTTTAATGTGCACTTTCCATATGTTGTCATGTTTAAAGTATTTTGTTTTAATTTTTCCTTTTATAGAAAATTTTAGCAATGTTCATATCTACATCTATTTTATCTCTTATCACTCTATCGACTCTTTTTAGCAGTCTCTTTAAAAAAATGATCTACAAAGAAACCACAAAGAATTTTAGAGAGACACCATCATATTTAACAGTCATTATTTTATGGTATTTTCTCATTGTTTATCTTTATTATGGGTTTTTTATTATCAATACTTTATTTATAACAAATTTTAACTTTTTTAAAAAATAAATTAGCACATAAAAAAAAAGTTTTTAAAATAAAATTGCCTTTTACATGTTTATTTATGTATAGAAGTAAAATTGCTAAATAATAATGCCAGTTTATCTATACTTTTAAAATACTATTTGATTCTTTTGAAACTTTTTTATTATGTATTTTTTTTACTCATTAATAATTATATATAACTACTAATTTTCATGTATGTCTTGTTACTTACTATAAAATCATATTAGTTCAACTTCAACTTCTTAATTATCTGTAGTTGTGGAAAGTTGGCTTTTTTTTTATTCTAGTGCTAATTTATCATCAATTCCTGTGGCTTCTATTGAGATAAATGAAATGGTCAATGATGAAAGACATATTGGTCTCAAAGAGGATGAAGTTGAAATTGTCAATTTGTAAAAAATCCAAGAAATAAGACATCAAATGTTTGGCAAGAATTTACAATAATTAAACTTGCTGATGAGACTTTAAAAATGTAGTTTAATCATTGTAAAATCAAGCTTGGCAAAAATAAAAAGGGTATAATTATGCAATATAAGAGGCATTTAACTAGCTGTCCTAAACAGTAATTGACTGACATGGGCAAAACACTATATATTTGCTATTGCAAACACCTAAATTAGATAGTATAAGTTGTATTTAGACTTGAAAGTATGATTAAACAATGCTAAGGGAGATTGTTTCTCATATGATTATAGTTCATAAGTTGCCATTTATATTTACTGAATATTAGCTTTTCACTTTGTTGATGAAAACTGTAAGTCCTCATTATTAAAGGATCTCTCGTACAACAGCCAATGTTGATTGTTGGACAAGTTATGAAGTAAAAAAAAAAAGAGGTTAAATGCATTGCAAAAAATAATTGACAGAGGTAGCATTACAACTGATATATGAAAGTCAGGTCAGAATATTCAATACATGGTGTTGATTTTTCATTTTATGGACTCTGATTAGAAGTTACAAAAAAAAGTTTTGAATTTTGTTGATGTACCTCCTTCTCAAAATGGAGTTGTCATTTATGATACGTTATACAAATGCTTGTAAG